CCCGCCCGGCCCGCGCGCGGCGACTTTGCCCCCTCGGCTCGGGTCCGGGATGCTGGCTTCTGAAACGGAGCCTGGAAGGTTTGTGCCACCGAGAACCAGTCTGTCACCCAGACACCCTCCTTACGTTTTCCTGCCACTCTGAGCCTTCAGGCTGGTTTTGGGTGGGTGGGTGGGTCGTCTCTTTTCTCTCTCTCTCTCTCTCTCTCTCCTGCAAGAGACGGAAGCATTGAGGATTTATAGTTCTGTGGCGGTGGTTGTCACCTCCGCTCTACGTCAAATTTAAGACTCATTTCTTAGGGATGTCTCTATTTTTCTGCTTTATTTGCACACTGACGGCGCTGCTGCTCGGCCGGCCTCGGCGACTACCAGGCATCAGAGATAGAATTGTGTTACTATATGAAAAGGAGGGGTCACTTGCAGGCAAGCGGAGATCAGATGACATCTGAAGGATTCTCCCTGGCTTTATAGGAGAGAAAGCGTTCGGATTTTTGCTGGTAAAGGCGAGGTCTTCGCTGTTCAGCTTGTTGGTGGCAGTAGCCAATGGTGTCCCCATCCCTGCTGTTTTTCCTAACTTGGTCGCACTTTCACAATTCTGTCACCCAAGCTCGCTCTCCCCCATCAGAGGTAGAAGCTGTTCCCCTTCCTCCTGCCCCAAATCACTAAAACATCCCCACTCCCACCCCCCTTCTTGACTCTTGCTGCTTTTCACAACTTTTCAGCTTCTGTTAGCGTGGTTTGCTCTGGTTCCTTTTACCCTGGAACTTCCTTGAATCCAATTTTTCAACCTTCCTGAAGGTTCGTGTAGGTTTGTCGTGTCTGCACGGATCCAGTGATGCATAACTCATAAACTGCCAAGCTTCAAAACTAAGCTCCCCAGCTGCGTGCTACCTAGCTCGCTCTTCGAGTTTTGGCTGTTCAGTTGTCATTCTTTAAATCAAGTGCAAAAGAGGTCATTTCTGTTTGTTTAGAGTAAGAGCTGTTTACAGTTAAAACTTTAAAGACTCATAAAAGCAGGTCTGCTGTGTTTTAAAGATCTCATCCTTCTAGGGAGAGAGACACTGCAGCAGGGAAGACCACAGCTTGCTTCTGTCCTGTGGCTGCGCAGTTTGGGAGTGTACTTAAAAGGATTATGATTGATAAGGCTGTCTTGCCAGAGAATGTTGACACAGGTGTTCATCGTTATCTTAATTAAGATCCTGAGAAAATGTTGTCTATAAAATGGTGACATAAGAAGGGTGGCATATTTTTGTACAGTTTTGTTTGGGGAGAATGTAATTGCACTTGAAACCTGTCTTTGAGCTTCCAGATTTCGTGAGTTCTTTGGCAACAGAACTTTTATAGAGAAATCGTAGTTTAATGTTAAGTGTTCTGGCATGTGCTAATGCTACTTGTGGCTTCTTGGCAATGCCTTGTGTTGGCTTTTATTTTTTTTCCCGTGTGTGTGTATGTGTGTGTGTGTGTGTGTGTGTGTGTGTGTTGTTCGTGCTCTACCTTTATGAAACAATGGTGGCTAATTTAGAAAGCAAAGCATGCAATGGAGCAGTGTGTTATTATGCAAACATGCATTGGCGTTCAGAATAAATCTAGTGAAAGGCATACTTACTGTATACCTGTAAGACTGGAATACAAAAGGGCCGTTCCAGAAGTGTTTGCCACTTAATTTGGAGGGAAGAGGAACAGACCCCCGCATTGTTTTAATGGCAGGACACAATTTCTTTCTCATACTATCAAATGTTTAGCGTCAGTGTTGGTGGACTGCATTGTTGTTATTCCCAGAAAAAGAAGAAGAGAATGTTTATTTCTTCCCAAACAGTGAGCAAGCAAACATAGCGCGTTCGTTTATTAGCCGAAGGATCCGGTTCTAGATATGAATCGTCGCTTTGGTGGCCCCTGGAAGGAGACGACGGCCCTCTACTCCCAATATCTGACTGCAAAAACAATCATAGCAAGAGCCCCCTTCGTTACCGCGCCTTTGGTTCAGCCAGCACCCTGTGCCCTCTGACCCATGTATTGCATTAAGAGTCCCCCCTCCCCACCCCACTAGAGCTAATTATTTCCTGGAAACTAGCTGTCCATCAGTGTGTGTCTAAGGGGTGTGTTAATATTAAAACCCACTGCGGAAAGGGGAAATGAAAGTGGAGGAGGCAGTAGGCATATGATCTGAGAAGCCAGGTGTGGAATCACAGCACAGTCGTGCGTCCAATGTAATTAGCTGGTTAGAATGACATAGTGAACGAGAATCAAAGAAAGATTTATTTGGATTTGTTTGCTGAAACTAAAACAGGAGCATTCATTTTGAGATAATTGCTTTACTCGTGCCCCCCACCCCCCCACCCCCGCAACTCCCCCACCAATTTTCTTTTTTTCCTGGCAGCTAAGAGCAGCACCCTTATGCTGTTAGCCATGTATGATTTTCAAATTTGATATGCTGTGTTAAAAGAGATAAAGTAGGAATAATAACTAATTCCTTATGATCCTTTTGAATGAACAACACCAAAAAAATTAGCCACATATTTTTACATTATTGAAATCTTAGGAAAATGCTCAGTGTCCTTCAGTTGATGCTGGAAGTGAATGCGCTCCTGAGTGAATTATCTCTGTTCTTCAAAATAGATTATGCAAACAGTATTGCACTTTTGAATAATGGCTTAACTCTGAGATGACCCAATTTGAGTGTTGGTATCTCAATGCCCTGGTATTTTTTTACTTCAGTTTCTACATTGTGTTGATTCTTGTGCTTTTAACATCTTTTCGGTATATTTTTTAAGTATTGTTCAAGAATAATTTTTCTGAAAAACAACAAGAACAACAAAAAAACAGTAGCTGCAACAGTACACATGTAAAGGCTAGGCTCTCTCTGGTTTCTTGCTCACTAATGACTCGTTTGCTCTCACAGTGCTACCTTGAAGTGAGATGTTGCCAACTTATTTCTGCATAACTCTGCAGCAGCCTTTTTATGGCTATATTATACCTAAGCACCAGTTTAGCTTGGCAAATTAACTTAGAAGCTTCAAAATTGAAAACTGGTATATTCTAATGTAATTTGAGTTTAAGTCTTTATTAGTAAGAATGCACTTAACATTTGTTCCGGGGAAAAGAATATAATTTCCTCTTGAAGTTGTCATTTGTGTAACCCATTTTTCTAGCGTTTTCATAGCTAATGATATTCCACACCTTGATCCAGTTTTTTTTGTTTATTTTCCATAATATGGAATGATACCTTGGAGAAAATTAGATTGAATATTCATATCTAATATCCCCAAAGTATCTAATGAGTCTTCTGTGTTTCCTTCAACAAAACCATTGCCATTTCCTCTGCAGGTGATTCAATATGATGCTTCCATAATGACGGTGGCTGGCTTCAGCTGGGTTCACCTCTGAACTATGGGCTTCCTCCAAGTGTAGGCCGAAATTTGCCTCAGTACATCTCCGGCAAGTGTCTGCTTGCACAGATGTGCGTCTGTCTGTGCTGGGTGAACCCAAAACAGGAGTAGTGCCAGATTGGCCCCAGCACTGAGATGAGTAATGGGGGCTAAGTGCAGAAGGTAAAGCCTTTCCACCTGAGGCATTTGATTATTAATGTTTCGCTAATGGCATTAAATGAGGGTACGATCAACGGAGCACGTTTGCCTTGCGAAATTACAGTAAATACTTTATTTTTGCAGATATCATTGGCTAACGAAACACATACTCGTGGCTTTTCCTAAAGCTCAAAACTAAACATTCTGGTATGTGATCGAGAGAGAGAGAGGTGTTATTCTAAAGGAAGCAATCTGTCGACACAGAATCACAGCTTTTGCCTATTTCAATTACCCACTTTGAAGAACAAATTTAGCGAGAGATTCCACCCCAGTCATAGATGCCAAACGCCTGATGACAGAGAGTAGACAGGTGTGCTCGGAAACGTGTCGTTTCTAGTCAAAATAGGGCTGAGGAATCCAAGGAGGGCAGCAGAGCCACGAGCAGAAATCCTTTGGCAGAGCGTTTGTGCTCGGCACGCGGAGCAAGGACCTGGACTTGGTGAGAGAGAACATTTTACCAAATGGCAAAAGATGGCTGTGTGGCCATCGGGGTGACGGTGAGCTCATGCCGCAGAAGAGGGCTATCGTTGTAGAGCCTCCTGTGGGTGCTTGACACGGCTAATATGTCATTGTGTTTAAAGAACACCTTTGTGTTGCCCCGTAGATTCTACAGACATGGTGTCTCGTGTATGCCCAGGACAACAAGTCAAAGCACAGGGCTCGGGTGACAGACATGGAGCAGAGAGCTCTCTGAGCCCTCTGGGTGGACCTTTTAAGCCGAGCCATTGGCCTGTTTGCTTTTAACCCTTTGCAAAGTGGTTGAGTTGAAAAGACAAGAAGAACTTTTTTTTCTTTCCTTCCCCTCCGAAGGACAAAGACAAGATGACCCTAAACGTGTGAGTCGATGGAGATTGGTTGAGTTTGATTATCTGTTGTCCGTGTCTGTTGAGCTCTCTCTTTCTGTGGCTAGCCAAGATTCATCATTCAGATGCAAGCTTTCTGTATATCAAAATGTTTTCAAAGGTATTCAAACACAAATAATCCTTTGACATCTAACAGGGATTCGGGGTGCCCGCCATTCTTTCAGAAGAAAACCATATTCTTTCCTCAGTAATAGGCCCTGGCTGATTAATGGGAAAGGTTGTGTTCCGTGTTCTCTAGTGGAAATAGCTAAAGAGTATATATTTTGAGATATGTATCGTCCAGGAGTAAAATCCATGAGCATACTGGTCATTACATTATAATTCCGCGATGGAAAGAAGTCGTGTACAAGAAGACACTAACTCTGGCTGTGTTTCACCGTAGGAGTCTGGATGCACTGCCCTGGCTCCTGGGGAGAAGACTCCCATGCTGGGAAGGTAATGTTCTCCCTTTTAAACGAACGTGTTTCTCCTTTGTCATCCTGAGACTTTGTGACATCTGAGAACTTTGTCCAGCACACAGCACTTTTTTCTGTCTGGACTATGGAAACTCTGCTTCCTCTCTGCACAGCCAAGAAGCCTCCCTGCTCTGCCCAGGGCTATGGGCAACGTTGGGTGCAGCCGAGAAATACCATTGAGGCATGCTCAGCGTCCTTAAAATAGCTTCTTTCTGAGAATTCGCCCCGCGACGGTGTCCTGCACAGTTAGTTCTAGGAGATGTCACTGCCGTGCGTGGCGAAGCTGTGCCCACATTTAGTGTGCTACTTCAGTGTCCTTGTTTACCTTCGGTTCCCTGTAGCCTTCACTGGGGCCTGTGTTCTCGGCAGGCGGGCTCAGTACCAGCCACAGCAGAGCTCCGAGGGGAAGGCGCCGTGGTGGACAACCGGCACGGCCCCGGGTGGGCCAGCCAGGGCCGTGCCAGTGTACTGCCCTCACAGACGTCCTTTCCCTGGGGCAGGTCCTTCCATTTTCCTCTTGATGCTAGGCCAGGGGTAATATTTTTCTTTTCCTCTGGCTCCACTGGCTCACTGCTGGCTTACGCAGCTGTGGCCGGACCCTCACGGAATGGAATCCCTCGCTGTTTTATTCTGGATGAGGTCTTTGATCATTTTACGGCTGTGCTTTTTCATTTTCAAAAACCTAATTTTGGTGTTACAGAATCGTAGGATTCTGGAAGATCAGAAATTGGTTTCAATTTGTATCCATAAGGAACTCACACTTCTCTTCTGATACTGTGTTGCCACAGTAACAATTCCAGTTTAATCAAAACCCCTAGAAGAGAGAGAGAGAGAGAGAGACCAACTGACCCGGCCTCACAGTGTTCAGAAATGCTTACAATATGCAGTGGTGTGTGTGTATATATATATTTGAGAAAAAGTATGTACTTTTCTAATTATCAAAAAGGACTGCTTTGTGCATTGTATCTGTGGATGAATATGAGTAGTGCTCTCTAGGGCTTCATGACATCCCCTTATAGAATTAGGAAATTAGGAACCGGTAAGAAATGTGGGGACAAACATTGATTTCTTCCATTCAAGAAACCTACCACATATACTCGTGTATAAGCTGAGTTTTTCAGCACATTTTTAACGTAGTTTTTTGTGGTAAAATTGGGTGCCTCGGCTGATACTCTGGTCGGCTTATGCTCGAGTATATGCGGTGTGATACATTTAAAACAAGAACCTCCAGGAAAAACAAAACAAACACTACAATCTTTAAAGAGTGGTTTTGTTTAACACAACAGGAAGGGGCAAAAACCTTCCCATCTTCAATCACTAAATCTACCCCTATGTAGAAAAGAAGCCATGGAAATAGAATCTAGGGAGAAATGGTGATCCCGAGTGCTGAGTTGGAGCGCAGTTCGCACTGCAGAGCAATTGTGTGACAGCGCCGGCCACCTCGCCCACTCCCTGTCCTGGGTGGCTTATGGCCCCAGCATTTAAAATAGCAGTCTCCGTCCAGCTTGCATATGGGATACAAGAATATTTCTAATGTGACGAGGTCTTGCTAGTCATCTGAAGTGTACGTGAACGTGTCGTGTCTATTAACAGAAGGAAAGTAGAAAACTTAATATCTGGGCAACTGAGACCTTCAAACCTGCTTCAAGATCTCGAGTGTGACATTTCTGGCCTTATTTATTGTCTTTGTTAATAGAGGCAGAATTGTGGCCGGATCCTCATGGAATGGAATCCCTCGCTGTTTTATTCTGGATGAGGTCTTTGATCATTTTACGGCTGTGCTTTTTCATTTTCAAAAGCCTAATTTTGGGGTTAAAGAATCCAAGCATATTTCTTCTTTTAATTCTGAAGATTTTCCTTTCTGCAGTAATAAAGGATGTGCATGTTTCGGGGTGGTGGTAAGATTTTGAGTGTTGGGGCTCTGAAGTTGAGTATTCTAAAGCGTCAGCACATGGAAAACGCAGCATTGATTAATTCTGACTGTAGAGGGGCAGGTAAGACTGTTTTCAGCAGAAACGTACTAATGCTGCAGCCATTGAAATTAAATGTTTGTTAACATAATAGTGGTGGCATTTTCTCCTCCCCCCTCCTTGTGGCTGTGTCCAACTGATGTTACAGTGGCAGTCACACTGACTGCTAAGTGTTTAAATGATGACACCATTATGTGAAGTGATTTTGAAATGAGAGATTCCAGCCAAGAATTACATCTGCTCCCATCTCCTTCAAATCATACTCTCTGGCAGTACAGATTATGATTGATTTGTTTGTGACAGATTGCAGGAAACAGTCATTGATTTTTCAATATTTTACCTTAAAATTATTTACAGTTGTAACCATGGGGAGGTGTTTCCATGGGCTGTCAGCCCCTGAAAGACTAGGATAATATTCCCTGCTCTCTGACAAGACAAATTACCTGTAATGAGTGCAGTAGCTGAAGGGTATACTTTTATTTTAAAATATGTCAATAACCCCAGTGACTAAACGAATATTGATTTAGCATAATGAAGCCTGAGTAATGTGAAAATGAGCTTTTTCAAGGGGCATGGTAAAGACTTTCTTCTTAGCTGGTAGCAAGAAGCGTTTCCTTCTTTGCAGCTAGGTAGCCAGTAGCGATGTGCGGCGTTTTATACGCAAATTACCGGCGAAGGCAGCACTCCATTTGTGATAGCCAGCGTCTCAATAGCTGGACCTGGATTTTAGCTCCCCCACCCCACCCCCGTCAAATCTTATTTTGGCCAGCTATTGATCTGCTTGATGTTACCTTTGATTGACTTAATGTTTCCACAATTTCAACAGATTTTCCACTGGAACCAGTGGTGATGAAAATAAAACTACCTATGCACTCATTTGTAGGTGACATAATAATTGTCTGAAGGCATTTCGGTTTAATTGTGCTATTTAATGTGCCATGTTTTATGGTACAGCTCAGTGTCTGGGTATCACATTGCTTTTATTGAGAATGAAGATTCATTTTCTTGAGACTTGATTTTTCTAGGCTTCGTTACATGTGTTGTTTTTTTGTCAGACTTTAGCCCCTCCTCCCCCCTTTTAAATATAATTCTCCACTTCTTACAGACCCTAACATATAAGGCTGTTCAGGAAAGAATGCTTGAAGTGAAGTATAGACCTTTATGTTTTAACCCACCAGAGAGCCTGAAGCTTTTCCGTCTGCTCCCTAGCTAATACGTAAACCAGCAGAAGACCGCGGGTTTGAGCAAGATGTCAAACTGGAATTTTATGGGGATCTAATTAAATATATGGCAACTGATAGTAATAAAAGGCATATTAAAAGCAATATGTGGAATCCGATTCGAACTTAAAAATGAGTTATGATTTAAAAAAATTTTTTTTCAAATGGCGCTTTTGTAGGGAGTGCTACTTCTCTGGGTGCCTAGCATTGGAAATGTCATGATAAAATAGAGGTGCAAACACATCTTTTAAGGAAACCAAGGGTAGACTGCTAGATCACAGAACTGGCATTTTATTTTCTCCCAGACACTCCCCAAAGGTGCCCGGATGCAGATGTGCTCCGCACTGGCTGTTCTGGTGTCCTGCGGATCCCATGGTTTCCTTTCTCAGTCCCGCACCACCACCACCCAGGACTCCCCCTGCCCACGGAAGGACCTGGACCCGTAGAGCACTGCGGTGTGCACCGTTGTCCTGAGTGAAACAACAGTGGCCCACGCATTGTACCTGTAATTTGGTGGGGTTTTTTTTTATTAAGTTGATACCGGATCCTTAGAATTATTTATGTCTTTCAGAAAAAAAAAATTTTTTAATGGGTATGGATGTTTTTCCACAGGCAAATTTATGCTAAGAAAAATGCTTATGTCAGTGTTTGTGTAATTTGGGAGTGAACTACTGAATGTTTTAGGATCAGTACCTTCTGACCCTTTCCTAAAATTTGAACTTGCGTGTGATATGTGTAGAACTGTTTGTGAATTGAAAGTTTTAAATATGGATGAAACCCAGGATCGATGAGTCTATGGAGACAGGAGCTGGAATTAAGGGTTCCTGGAGGATACAGGGGGGAGGGGGAAGAGGGAGCTGATATCAGGGAGCTCAAAGAAGAAAATGTCTTGCAATTGGGCAGTCCTTGTACGATACTGCTGGATGTGATTGAACTGTGGAGTGAGGTGAAGTCTGAATTCGCTCCTCATAAAATGGTTTGGGGGGAAAATGTTTTAAAATACGTACAGCTTTTTTTAAAATGTTATGCCCTTTACTATTTTCCCCTTAGGAAAAATATCCAGCCCTTGTTCGCCTTTAGAGGGAAGGGATTTATATGAGATATTTTTGAATCATTTAATTCATTGCATGAGGTTCATTAAAACCTTTCTTTTCAAAAGGATAAAAAAGTATTTTATTTATCTCATAATATAAACAATTTACTTTGCCACAGTACATACCAATCTACCCCCCTTCCCCTCCTCTCTCCCTCCCTGCTCCCGCCCGCTTACCCACGACCCCCAGCAAATTCATTTCACTACGTGCGCTCTGACCTATGACAATTTAACATAGGAACAAATGAGCATATCATTCTATTTTCCATAAGACTTCAATGAATGGCAGAATTCCACCGCCACTTTTGGGGTCCCACGTGGTAGTTTATGCAGTAGCATGAAGGATTTCTGGAATTTCAGCCCATCCTGGCTCAAGGGTGATTACAAAGGTTTTCAAGAAAGCGATTTGGGGAAATGCTTCCCGGCTAGGACGAAGTTACTAAGACACCCCTAAAGGTGCCCGTTTTCATTGGTGTGCGTAATGGAATCGTGATTTGTCTTCTCCGGCCATGAAGCAGCCCGGCAAAGTCAAAGCGCCTTTGGTGAGGTCTAAGAGATTAGGGACAGGTGGTGACAATGATCAGAACAACTCATGGGTTTCTTTCTATTTCCCTTCAGATCCCTTAGATCCCGCCACGGGTCTGCGAGACCGCCTGCAGTCGGCTTCGGTCTGGAGGCAGAGGAGGTGGAAACAGCAAGGGCTCAGGTGGTTTCCGTAGGTTTGGCCATTCCTATGTAGAGACGGTGGCGTTTTCCGGTCAGAAGCCCGAGCTGTCACACAGAAGCAGGCTCTGCTCTGTCCGACTCACCTATCTTATCAAGAATGATCAGATCACTGGAGAGGGCTGCTAAATAAACACTCTGTGTTTTGATTAAAGTATTGGAAAAATGAAATCCATTTCACATGTTGAATTTTTTTTTCCTTTCTGAAATGTCTCTCTCTATTGGACTGAGTGGATGCTTGTGTTTGAAGAAAGCTCAGACCCCCTTTCTCCATCATACTAATTTCTGGCAATCTGAAAGCAAGACAATAGGCTTAAAATCACTTTCTAATGTGACTCCTCTATGTACGAAAGGAAAAAAGACCCGAGCCTCTCTTTGAAGCTCAATCCTGACTTAGATAAGGAAAAGCCAGCCTTCCTCCCAGAGCACTGCTTTTGTGCTTGAGCCTCTGACTTGAGGAGAGAAGTTGGAGATGGGTTCTTTCACAGGAGACTGAGTCAGGATGGGTTGCCTTGCCATTGGGAGCTTCCCTGCTGCAGCCTTTCCCATAGCCCTGGGAAGCCGAAGGGTCTCTGAGGGCCCAGCGGGTCAAAGCATTTGATTGCCAACCAAAAAGCTAACGGTTTGGACCCACCGGCCACTTCCCAGGAGAAAGCTATGGGAGTCTACTTCTGTAAAGAGCTCCAGCCTTAGAAACCATGACCGACTGCGTCCTGCAGGTCACTGGCAGTCAGAATGGACTCGGTGGCAGTGGGCTGTGTAAGAAAGCTGATTCCTCTGGGATGGGCAGGCCTCCTGCCTCCACCATGTGAACCCTGTGGAAAGGCGCCTTCGACGAGAGGTTGCCCTTAGGGAGGGGGCTAGGGACATTGACAGATGCTGACCACACTTGTCGAAAGTGCTGTGAGGGTTCTGTTGGGAATGACCCTGTTTGAACTTCACTACGACTATGGATTTTGCAAAAATGTAAACACAATGAATCTCAAGCTTAGATCTAAATGTAGCAAAGTAAATGGATTGTACTGTTTTACATTTGTAATGTAAACTTTATTTTGAGGTACTTACTTCAGTGCCATTCTTAAAATACATACAAAGAGATGTATTATGCCCTTTGTCCAGTGTCCTCCAATGGTAGCCCCTTACGGTAGCTAGCACAAGGTCACATCCTAAAAAATGGCATTTCTGTCATGCCAAGGGTCCCTTGTTCACCTGTTTAGAGCCACCATGCTCACTTCCCTCCTGCCCCCACCCCGTGCCGATCATTTTGCCCTGGCACGGTTGTGATACGGATCATGTGCTATGTAGCCCTGTGGGAACACTCCCACTTTGTTTCTTGTTTTTGTTGAATAGTCCCTGGGATAGATGTAGCACGGTTTCATTAGTAACTGTTCACCAGTGGGGAGGTCAGGGTTGTTCCCAATGTATAACTGTTGCAGAGAAAGTGGCTGGAAAGATTATGAACAGGCTGCTCGGTGAACTATTTTCATTTTTCTGGGATGCAATTGCTGGGCTCACATGACAAGTACATAGCACTAGATTGGTTGGAAGTGACAGGGAAGCCACCTGTAGTTTAGTATTTTTGCTCTAACTAGGTCAGTGCATGATTTTGCCTTTTCTAAATAATTAGAAAAATTAGAATAATTTGCCTTTTCTAAATAATTAGAAAAATGCATTCATTCTAGCCAGATAGTTTTAAAAAAAACTCCAGGACTTGCTCTTACTTTAAGAGAGACAAACAGAAAAGTTTCTTATTGTGGTAAAGAGTTCCTACACAGAGAAATAAAGGTAGATTGTGTTGTGGGAAATATTCAAAGCTGAAGAAATCCAGGGGAACTTTTCAGGGCTGTTTCTGGGACTTTGCATTCAAGAATATATTGTGGTACATAGAATTGATAGACGTTAGCTTTTGTCACTATCTTAATAGCAGTTTTCCTCTGTAGAATTATCTCATCTTTAGAATGCTATGTTCAGTAGTGTTACCAAAGCATCCGTTTGATCCCACTGTATTCACTTACTGGGAAAAAAAGGAAAGGTCCCTTTTCTTGGACATGGACCCTAGAAGCACAGCTATTTGACAGGATGCTCTGTTGAAGAAAAGCTCTGTGCCGAACTCCGACAAGATGATACTCTAACACTTATGAGGCCTGGACTGTGCACAAAACCATATTGCTCATCAGCGGGGAGGGCCCTGAAATGGCCCTGGACATTTTCAAGGATTATTTTTAACCCGATTTTCCACCCTACATACTGACTCTAGAGCTGCCCCACATGAGATGTGATTCCATTCTTTTTGTGGAAGCCTCGGATGTGATCATCCTTCTAACAAAACTTATAGCAAAATTATAAGTATGTGACATTTTTAGTGAGCTGCTAGGATCAAGCTTATTATAATAAAGTGATCTTCTTATTATAATCTTTTTAAGATAATAAAATGAAAAATGATCTTGTTGAGAAATAAGACGTGCACACGGACTTTCAAAATATCCAGTGTGGTCTTTCATTCATGAAGTGGGCATTTGGGCATCCCACATTCTCAGGCATGAAAGATCTAACAAGAAAGGAGACGGATACATCCCTGTTATCTTAGCATGGTTGCCATAGCTCTTAAACCTGGCTGGTGGGTGGGGGTGCACAGGGGAAAAAATGAAACTTAAGAAACGAATATGAATATGCATTACAAGAAACACATTTACTGTCATTGAGTCAACAGCAACTCATAGTGAACCCAAAGAACAGGTTGAACTGCCCCTATAGGTCTCCAGGGTTAACTCTACAGGAACAGGAAGGCTCCACTTCTCCTATGGAGCAGCTAGTAGCTGGTGGTTTCGAACTGAGATTGACAGCCCAACTCGTAACCCCTACACCACCAAGGACATAGGACCCTAGGAATTCTGGAGAAGAGAGATTCCAGTAGGGCGGGCTTTAAATAAAACGAGACCAGGGACGTTTGACTGCATGTTCACTGTAGACAAGAGAAACCACTTCTAGGGATAGGGAAGTGAACCAGGGCAGGACCTGTCTGACTAGGCTTTGCTAAAGCAACAAAGAGATCTGTATGTCAGTGTCCAAAAGTGGAATTTGTAGGGAAGTCAGAATTGGTGCATTCGGTTCTCATTTAGCCTGCCTTTAGGAGCCTTCATGGTGTAGTGGTTACAAATTGGGCTGCTGACTGCAGAGACAGCAGTTCAGTGCCACCAGCGTGTAGAGATGGGGTTTTTGACTCCTGTAAAGAGTTCGGGGAACCCGCAGGGCAGTTCTACCCTGCCCTGTAGCATCACTATGAGTCTGGCGTGGACTCCAGGGTTGTGAGCTTGGTGAGTTTCAGTCACTAGTGCGAGAAGAGGCTCAAAGGCTGTTTTGAATGATTCAGAAGCTGCCCATACAGCAAACGGAGATGAAGAATGTGTTGCTTCCTCAGTCAGTCATTTCAAAGTCAGGGCATATTTACATATCGTTAAAGGGCCAGTAGGTGTGGCCACTAAATCAGAAGTAACCCAGGGATTGTCTGTATATTAAACAACTAAGAGAGCCCTGGCAGTGCAGTGGTTCCGTGTTGGGCTGTGGTCTGCATAGCTGGCAGTTTAAAAATACCAACAGCTCCACAGGAGAAAGACTGGGCTTTCAAAACCCCATGAACAGTACAGTCTTGAAAACCCCCAGGGTCACTATGGGTTAGCATTGACCCAATGGCGTTGAGTTTTGAGAATGTTTTAGGAAATCAACAGAAATAACATGCTTTTCAAAAACGGTAATATTTGAATATAAATATGTGTTTCGTGGAAAAAAATATGTATTCTTCCCTCCAAATGTAAAGTAAAACCTGTAGCCTGTGAGGCTCCATTACTCTGTATGTACTAGAAAACATCATTTTCCTGCCTTAACATTTGATAATAAGGAATAAGGTATACACCCCTGTTGACTTAAATGCACAACAACCTGTAAGATGAAAATACTTGGAAGTTTTCAGTTAGTAGGCAGAAAATAACAAAAGAACTTTGAAATCTTCTAGAATTATTCCAAAATTAAAACAGCCAGGTCATATATAAATTAAAAATTTCATGATAAACATACTTGTAAATTTAGATAGAGAGCTGAGAGTTTTATTAAGGAACTACTTTGAGAAACATAAAAAATTCAAATATTTTGGTGCTTCATTAACTTAAATGTACAAGAGAGTGAGAGAGCTAAGAGCCAGTCCTAATGTGCACACAATTTTGGAAGGCAAAAGTGTCAAGCTCTGTGACCAAGGGCCTGTCGGATGGAGGAAACATAAAGGTCTGTCACTGTTTCTTTACATAAATCATACATTTGGTCAATGTGATGATAAACAACAATAACAACTTAGATATTTAGGATTTTTAATATATAACATGGTTGCAATATTCTCAACTATATGAGAGGACTTTAAGAATGAGTGGGGAAAATCAGAAATAAAAGATAAAAACAAAGAGTACACAAGTTATTTCTCAACAAAAGTACCATCAAACTCAAGATATTTACATTGTAAGTGATCATACAAGTCACTTAGTCTACCCTTAAGGAACTGAGGGTCCTAGAAAATGTGGCCATGCCACTGCAATCTTTTCAATAGTATTACATTATTAAAGATAAGGTGGAGGAGGGGTAGTCAGAAGGAGGAAGGAGCCAAATCAGGGCTATAAGTTGGTGCCTAGTGATTTTCCATAAAAATACTGGAAAATTTGTCCTTGTTGGATGACAAGATGAGCAGGGGCATTGCTGGGGTGGTGAAGGACGAGGGTACAGTTTTTCTGCCAAAGCTGAGGCTAAGTTTCTCAAAAGCCTCTTACAATAAGTAGACACTGTCATTCTTTAGCCCTCCAGAAAATCAACATGCAAAATACGTCAAGTATTCAAAAAAAAAAGGTTGCTCTTGATCTATCCAGTTTTGCTTTGAATGGACCACTTCCCCCTCTTGAGAGCCATGTCTTTGAGCTGTATCTTCAGGGTCCTCCTGGTAAAATCCTGTTTCTCTCCTCTTGTAAGGCTTCAACATCTCAATCCCACTCATTTAAAATTTACACATAAAACTCTGCTCTTGTCCAGCCCTCCAGCAGAAAGTTTGCTCAACTTTAATTTTTCAGTCAGAATTGTGTAAGCAGAACCAGTTCAGCTGTCCGTTGTTCCTGCTGTTAATCATTGGTCCGTTTCGATGAGGGTGCGAGCAAGATTGTTTCCTTTCAGATTGATGCGGATAGTCTGTCATGGGAGGCTTCACCTTCAGCACCTTGTCCCTTACTTAAAATGTGCCGTCTATTTATAAACTGCTGGTTTCTTTGGGCCATTGTCCTCATAAACTTTTTGTGAAGCATCAGTGATTTCACATTCTCTTCACCAGAAATTTGATGTTTGTTCTTGCTTCAATTTTAGCCGAATTCAGTGCCCTGATAAGGACTCTTTTTCAAACCCATGTCCTTTGCTTCTGAGTGCTTCAAAGTACATCCTGTTCAGACATGTTATTGCAAATTAGTGGATTTTGGCAAAAGATGAGGTTGAAATCCGTATCTAGCTGTTTTGGGTTTTTTTTTTCATAACGAATTTTTCATGAACTTTTTGAAGACTTCTCATGACCTTGCTATTGAGGAGAGCCAAGTGAATTGTTTTATGAAAGAGCAACATTAGGTTGGTGGCTTTAAAACTCTGAGTATGTATAATGACAAAGCCTTGGGGAATCATCTTGTAATACTGTTTATGTTGAAGTTAAGAAATAAAAGAAAAAGGAAATAGTACAATTTGAGACCATTCTTTAAAAACGTTTTCTTTTTTCTTTTTCTGAAAATACTGCAAATCATAGGTTGGTTACTACTAGACATCCCGGCTCTGCAGTGATTGCTCTGAATGTGCTTTTAAAGTACCAGACACTTTATAATTTTGTCTATAATTGTTTATACATATTTTCTTCACACAGTGCTTTCTGACCAGCTTATGGCTGCATTACTTTAACCCCCTTGTCATCTGGAAGCTTCAATGATGAATCTCCTCATGTCAGCGCTGAGACACCCGCAGGCAATTCCATATTTTTTCCCAAGGGCTTCCTTCTTCAAAGCGGCTTGCAAACTCAGTGCTACAATTAACTGGTCACTTCAGTCACAGGCTTTTAAAGCCAGGGAAGGCTACTTCTCAGGTGAGGAAAATGAGTTCCCGAGAGGTCAAAGAGCTTGCTACTACCTTGGTTCCCCCAAAATTAGACAGTGTCTTATAGTATTTTTTGCTCCCAAGGATGTACTAGGTCTTATTTTCAGGGGATGTCTTATTTTTCCATGAAGAAGACTTTGGTACACATTTATTGTTGAACAACAAAAAAGGAAATTTATTATCTGTATACGGTATGATAGTTGTTGTGATTACAAACCAAAATAACCAGACAAACTATGAATCCTACAGTATCAAGGATTTCTTGTTACTACCATTATTTCCATGGACAACAATCTATGGTACGTTTACTCATCTATTCAATGACAGTCATGTCATCATCTTCTGGAACATCATCATAACAATCCAAACCCTTATTTTCGGGGGATACCTTGTATTTCAGTGAGAGGCAAAACTGTAAGTAGGTCTTATTTTTGGGAGATGTCTTACTTTTGGGGAAACAAGGTAGCAAGTGATAATGAAGACTTAAACATGCCCCTGAACTCCAAATACTGCCAACTTGAAGGGGCTCATCCCAGCTTTTTGGACTTCCTGTTGCAGATGTTCGGATCTGAACCCTCTTGTGAGCAGCATTCTTGCACCTCAGTGTTCACTTGGCAGCTGTGTACCTCACACAAGGGTTCTGACACCGCATGTGCGCCTCAACCGGATGTTAGCCAATGGAGATGCTCATTCCTTTTTATTTGTGTGTAGCTGCTGTGCTCAAAACTTTAGGATACATTCAGAATCAAATCGAAGATGGAGTTCCTGAAATCAAGTTGAACATTGGACCTGGCTGGAGACAAAATGGTGACCCACCTACAGCGTGGCACTTCCCTGTCGATGAGGAGAGAACCACTCGCTGTGTGGTGTCAAGCTAGCCTGCCTGAGGCTGGGTGCGGTCAAGGAAAGCCTCCTGGAGGCCAGGTGGCCCGGAGAGGGGCTGCCGGGAGTTCCCTGCGGCAGGAAGGTGAGTGAGGGGCCTACGCAGAGGTGGAGAGGAGTGAACAGGCAGGACCAGGTTAGGTGGCATGCAGAGGAGCTCCAGTTACTTCTTGCACTCAGGGCTCCCCTAAAGCTTTTAAAGTCTGCATTTTTAGACACATGGCTTTGAGGGGCATGGAGAGTTCACTGGGGGCCAACAGGACTGAATGCCAAGAGACCTGTTAGGGGACTTGTGGAAGTCATTGTCCAGGCCAGAGATAACCGTTGCCTTAGCTAAGAGAGTGGCCACCCAGGGGAGAGAGATGCTGACGGATTGATGGGGACTACGAAGGATGCTTGAAATATAAGGACTTGGTAATTACAAGCAAGGATAAAGGAAACATGCCCACAAGGGTGTCGGAGGACAAGAAGGATTAGGCTGTGGTGGTGTTTTGAGGCTGGGGACCTAGCAGCAGTATCTAGTCAGGAAGTAGTAACAAGCAAGGAGGCAATCTATTCTTTCATTATAATGTCATTTGTTTTTGTTTTCCTTTAAAGGGTAAATCTCCCCCTCCAAAATGTGTTTTCTGTGATTACCTTTATTAAAAATTTCTGGTGCTCTGAGGCACAATATGGTTGAGCAGTGATGCTCCTTTTGAAAAAATGAGAGTTCCAAAATCTGGAGAGGGTCCTGTTATCCCTAATCGATTCACTGAATGAGGTGTACCGAGTTTTGTTTGTGAAGAGATTCGGAGAGAGACAGGTGAACACATTTAGAGAACAAGGTACTTGGGAGTATTTTGGGTTTTGGATACTTGGAGAGTTTAAATTGCAACATGCGCTTATGTTAATATGTTCTCAAATTTTTGTGCCCTATTTGCTGGGTCTTACTATCTCCAGTCTTTGTCCACAAATACTTTTTCAGCACCTCTGAGTACTGGGTCTGGGAAGGCTTGGCCGAGGGCCTCTCAGCCCTTCTCTGAAAGGGTGGGGACAGGCCTGGCTCCCCCTCACAGAGTGCATGGTCCAGCTGATAGACTATAAGCCCCCTAAGCATTTGATACGGTCACTCCTTATATGCTTAACATAATTAGCCTACGTTGTGAGCACAACTATTGACTCTGAAATCCTATAATAGTGGATGTTTATGCCTCCAGAGGGCACTGCCAGGACCAGAGAAGCAAAACAAGAAGAGCAGGCCTTGCTGCCTGCTTCACTGGCTGCATATAGAGATGTGCAGAATCCTCCCTCTAATCGGATGGTCATCCTGGTTATTCTTGAGGGGCGAAGACATAAATGCTTGTGGCTCACTTGTTCAAAAGGGTCAGGGGCTGCTCTGGAGTTACTCCTTGGGACCTGGCGCTCCCTTGAAATTCCAACGTTGAAAGCCTTGACATTCACCGAGAAGCTAAAATAATACGCACTTTTTACTGGAAAATCAAAGGAGGTCATTCTTGGAGCAAACCACAAGATATTATTTCTCTGTCTTTTCCGTGTCCAACTTCACCATTGCCTCTCATCTCTCAGCAGAAGGCGTCATGGTCCCTTCTCCTGTCTGCCCAACCACTTATTTTCTCCAACGCCTGTGCCTTCACCCTCCGCCCCCTTCACTTAATTCCTTTCCTGCAGTTGCTGCCATTCTAAAAGACCCCCTCTTACCCCCTCTTTCCTGCTAAGTTCTACTCAGACCAACGATGTGTTTCTAGGTACAAAAGTACCTGTAGGTTTGCTTTCCCACGCTCATCTTCCATTTACTTCTCATCCGCAGGCTGGCTTTCTCGTTGCCCGGTCCGATGGTGGTCAGTACTTGCCTAATCTCTCCGCAGCCCCTCACGGTGGCCTTGGGGGCTGAGATCCTGCTGCCCTTGGCTGCTGCTCTGACCTCGTCTTGTTCAGCCCTCTATGGCGTCTGCTTCCTGGGGAGGCTCTTCCCCTCTGCGCTGCTCCTGTGCCCTTGCCTCGGTTTCTCAGCTGCTTCTCGTCTTCCTGTGTCCTCCACAGCGCCTCCTGGGTCATGGCCGCTCTCCACCCATCATAGCAATTTCTTCTGCGGGTGGCATCTACCTCCCCAAACCTCTCACATGCCACATGCCAATCTTTCCCCACTGTCAGAGACACCTAAACAAAGGGCTGGGGACACAGGCTGAGGATGCAGAGTGCCTGCACCTCAAAAGGCCAGGGCCACTCAAAGTGTGGTCAACGGCCTGCCAGTCCACAAACTTGACCAGCCTGTGACAAGACACATGCGGATAACAAGAGAGAGGTACAGAGCAGTTAGCATTTCCATGGTTTCCGAGTGCATGGTTTATTATTCTGTAAGAAGAACCCTGCTAAGCACAGTGGAAATGAAAAAAATACAGCGAGTTTTCATTTCCGGGCAGCAAGGCTGTGTCAGCTACACATTCCACGCAGCTTGTTCATGAGCCTGCCTCCAGTCCCAGTCCCGTCGCCACCTTCCTCATAGAGCCCAGCATCTCCCATTACCTGCTGGACGTACAGGTGGAATGGGCACGGTGAGAGGATGCAATCCTGGCACGCACCCTTCTGATGGTAAACCACACAATAGCTCCTTGTTCTGTTCATATGACAGTAGCCGAGGGGAGAGCACACATGCCCCCCCAAACCCATCTGTCCTCGCACCTCACTTCCTGGATGATCTAAAATGGGGGCTGACCCGTCATCCACCCCTCCCACTGCCTTTGAGTCCCAATCCACAGCCTCCCCATAGGGCACCGGTGAACTGCTCCAGGGGGGTTGGGAGACTCGATCTTTAGGGGAGCTCCTCTCAGCACGGAGCTTCCCTAAATCCTCTGGAGGCACACTCATGCCCAGCGCCCCTCGACTCCTCCGCCCCATTCACAAGGCCACGCCCCACTCCAACCACTGGGCTGGTAGGTAAAGCCCAGGAAGCGCTGGTCCCAAATCCTCACAAACATTTAACATCTTCCCCCTCCCGCGCCTGGTCGAACACACAGCACCAGCTCAGGGACTCCACCTGGCTGAGGACACCTACAGGGCGGGTCACAGCTCTGCTGAACCTGGTCCCTCATTGGGCCTCACAGCAGGGGCTGGCCAAGAAGCTGAGCCCACTCCCCAGTCCGGCAAGTTCCCTCAGACTCCCAGCAGCCCCTCGATGTGTCAGAGTAGACCAGTGGTTCTCAACCTTGGGGGTCGAATGACCCTTTATGAGGGTCACCCGATTTATTACAGTAGCAAAATGACAGTGATGAAGTAGCAACGAACATAATGTTATGACTGGGGGTCACCGCAGCACGAGGAAGGCCGAGAACCACTGGAGTAGACGGTTCCATAGGGTTTTCCAGGCTGACTTTTCCTCGGGTCCACCGCCAGGCCTTTCTTCTGAGATGTCAGTGAATGGACTCAACTTCCCGACCTTCAGGCTGCAGCTGAGCCTGTTAAACCACTTATATGACCTGGCACTTTTGGACCACGAAACCCAAACCTCCAAACCCATGGACAGTAAGTGGATTCTGACTGATGGTGGCCCTCCGTATAGGACAGAGTAGAGCTGCCCCAGAGGGTTCCTGAGGCTGTAACTCTTTAGGAGAGTCTCATCTTTCCCCTGGGGATTGGCTGTTGGGTTTGAACTACCATTCAGTTGGCAAGCCAACGTTTAACCCAGTGCATCACCAGAGGGCCTTGGGAGGCCATGAGGGATCATTGTCAAATCTGTCATCCATCTGTCAGTCTGTCGGACCATGGGGGCTTGAGTGTTGCTGAGCTGCTGGAAGCTCAGGACTCAAACCCACTGCCATCAAGTAAGTGCTGCCTCGTAGCCACCTTACGAGACAGAGTGGAACTGCCCTGTGGATTCCCAAGGCTGTCCCTTTTTGCAGGAGTAGAAAGTCTCATCTTTCTCCCACAGACTGGCTGCTGGCTCCGAACTGCTGACCTTGCCGTGAGCAGCCCAACAAGTAACCCGCTACCCCACCAGGGCTCTATGCCACCCATGTGTCAAGTACCAGTTAAAGTCACCATGGTGGGCAAGTGTCAGACTTAGAAGAAAGGCCTGGGCATCTAGTTCTGAACATTGGCCAGTGGACGCACCACAGGATCGCAACAGAACCCTGCCTGGATGGCTTGCTTCGGACACATCCATTGCCAGAGAAGGACATCCTGCTTGATGAAGCAGAGAGCCAACGAGGCCATGGGAGACATTAGCCACAAAGAAGGGACACGCTGGCGATTGGGAGGAAGACACGGACTGGCCCGTGTTTTCTTCTGTCATTCACTGTGAGTCAGAATCGTCTCAATAGTCACAACAACAAAAGCAACACTTTTCAAATAACATTCTTATAACGGCAGGCTCCAGACACCCACGACCCTAAAAAGGGCAGGACAGAGGCTTTTGGAGGTTGGAGTGGGTGGGAGTGGCTTTCCAGGGTGGCACAGCTCACCTGGCTGCCCATCTGGAGAGAACCAGGCAACTTCTCAAGTCTGCTACTGCAACCTGAGATCCGCCACAAACAAAGGATGTGACTCTTCTTAAATCAAACTTCAGAAAGAGGCTGTGGCTGTGTTTGGCCACAAGCTGCAGTCTGCGGCCCCTGCTCTGCGAGGAGGCAATGTTCTGATGTTCTTCCACTCCACTGCTAGCCTTCCAGAGGCTTCCCTAGGGTTTGCCTTTAGAATGGCTACATCCCGGACCTTGACTCCTTCCAAAGAAGAGTAACAATGTAACCTACCTCCACCCCACCTGCACTCCCACCCCCAAACATTCTTTGCTGATGGAGAGAAAGGTATGTGGTATATGCTGAGCTCTGAGGGTTTCTAAGATACATCTTTCACCAGGTTATTAGGAGATAGGACACGAGCTTCTTACAAGGAAACTAGGGATGAAAACCTTGCAGAAAAGCAATTTTGTAATTTCAACAATGTCCCTACTCTGTTTTGGTTGGGTGCTCGGACCCAGAGTGTCAATACAGCTTTTCTCACAAGCCAGCAGAAGGATGTCCCTGTCCTTGCCTGGGTATCCTGGATGTACTAGGATTCCTGGCCTGGGGCCGAGGGAGTGCAGAGGTTGCTAACGTCTCAGTGAATAAGGTGACAGGCAGGATCATAAGCCAGTGGACATGGGAGGCAAGCACGCTGGCTTCTCTCTGAATATACTCCATTACGTGCCCAAACAGAAGCATGATTTAAGTGAAACTTAAAGAAGGATTCCCCAACTGCCAGGCACAAACAGCCTCAGGGGGCATGGTGATCAAGAATGCCCACAAACAACACGAATTGCTCTCTGTCACCTCCTCCTGCTCCTAAGGGGCTCTGTGGAAGTCACCCTGCCACCTTATGTCCCCACAGCCACAAATCAGGGCATCTTTTGTCAGCCTGACTGAGCAAGAGCACCTAGAAATGAAGCTAGTCCAAGCAAGGTGCAAGGCTGGGCCTCTGACTTTGACCTTATCGTCTCTTAGTGCTGTTTCGAGTGTCTTTGGATTAGCCAATCTCCCTTCTCTGAAAGCTAACCAGAATGGGCTCTTGGTATCATCCTATGCATTATAACTAGTGGCTGGTTTCAGTTCAAATCATCAAGCACCCCCCCCCCACACCCTCTTCCTTGTGCCTTAGGTCTCTAAGACCCCCAACAATAGGGGTTGGTAGTCCTGACATGGCACATCTTTGACATATGCGATGCCCAAATACCGTGTAGTTTATGACCCAGCTCCCACATTTATTGAGCACCTACTAATGTAAAACTGCACCTGAGTGATGCAGAATATCGGTCACCACACAGACGTGCATGGATCTCTGTCTCCAACCACTTTCCCTCAGGTCAGCATAGTGCATCGTTATTGAGGCTGGATCAAAAATGTATACGTTATTTTAAACCTCTCGGCTCACCACTTAACTTGGGCTATTTTGTTTTGCATTTTGAACATCCAGTTTGAATAAATTTATTGTCCGTTCTGAAGAGGGCTAGTTTATCTTCGTTTATTCTAATGTCATATACTTTTACGCTTGAATTATTTACTATGTGTTTGGCTCTTGGCCTATTTTATTTGTCATTCTATGACATACATATTTTCTGTGGAGATGCTTAGGGTAAACTGTATTTATTTATACCACAGTACATTAACCATCAAACTATCTCACTACAGTGAAACCATGACAATTGGGGCCCTGGGGAATGGCTTATTCCAGATAGCCAAGTTTTAAGAATTAACATGAACTCTTTTGTGATGGAAATCTTTCTAAAAGACATCAGACCTTTTCCTCTTGCAAATGGAGTTGCATTTAACTTTGATAATAACTCCAAGTCCTCAGTAGGAATTGCACTATAACCAGCTCTCATCAAAGGACTTGGATTTCCTTTTTCTTTTCTTTTTCAAAAAAATTCTCATTGGCATTTCTTAAGACAGTCTTTAGTTGCTCTCAGCTAGTGCAGTGATAGCACTCAATGGCTGCTAACCACAAGGTGAGCTCTTTGAAACCACCCGTCCCTTCAAGAGAGAAAGAAAGGTAAGGCTTTCTACTCCCATGGCGTTACAGTCTCAGAAACCCACAGGGGCACTTCTACCCTGTCCTATAGGGTCGCCATGCATTGGAAGCGGCCCCAGAGCAGTGAGTTTGGTTTGGGTATTTCTCCGTGGTGTCCTCCTCAACCTGTCTTCTCCTCTTCAGATTGTACTTCCACGCTTCTGTGGTTAGAATAGCGTTAGGTGCCAGAAAAGGCTTCTGGGACAAGCTGCCTTCCCTTCCTACCCCAATATCCTCTTTTGGTGCCAAGATTTCTGCAGAGACCCTGGTCCCAGCCAGGATGGTGGGGCATTGAGCCTTGGGTCCTTAGAAAAGCATGTCAGATTTTAAGCAGGCCTCACTTTCTGTCCGTAATTTATTAAACCATGGCCTTCTGTGATAGCAGAGTCCCTGGGTGGTGCCAACAGTTAACGTGCATGGCTACGAACCAAAAGGCTGATGCTTCAATCCACCCAGAAAAGTCAGATGAAAGCCCCCCCACCATTGGCTTTGGAAAAATCCGCCACTGAGCACCCCCGGGAGCACAATTCCGCCTGCCCGACGCACAGGGCTTTGCCAGGAGTTATCATGGGCCCCACAGCAAACCGGTGGTGGATTCTGTGACAAATTCCCTTCAGTGTGCCCTCTCCTTTTCTCCTCCTTCCCTTTTCTCAGCCAGGCATTCCTTATGAGATGCTGTGTCCGTTATTTAAGACTAAAGCTCGAGGCCTGGAGTGGAAGCAGCCTCTCTCGCTGGAAGTGCAGAGTCCAGAATGAGTCTAATCTCCGGCTTTTTGTCATACACAGGACCGTGGGTGTGTCACACCCATTTCTCCCTTTGAGTGCTTGCACAATGACTCATGGGAAGGGCAACAGCCAGGGAACACGCTGGCCTGGGGCCTGGTGACCTTCCATGCCCACCGAGCTTCCTTGCTTAGTCAGCACGGTGGCCACATTTTACTTTTTCTTTATTCCAAACACCACCACCAAGATGATGCTGTTCCCCGTGTCACAGGTAGGAGACCAGAGGGGCAGAGGAAGCCAGGGATCTGTCCAAGGTCACATTACAGATCTGGTTCTCAGACTGAGCCCAGGACCAGGGACTTTCCCCTACCTGCTCTTAAGCAGAAGTACTGAGGAGGGATAGGCGAGGCTCTGAGGGTGCAGGCTGGGGGTGCCAACCCACAGAGCACACACTGTCCAATCACCCAGAAGGGGAAGGGAGGACGTGGCCAACAAGTGAACCTCAGAAGAGGTCACCCACCCTCAACTAGCCAACTGCTGCTGGGTGGGAAGGGGCTAAGATTGCCCGTTTAGAATTTGATGGCTAACTCATCCTTGGAGTTTGATAATTCGGGGAACCTTGGACTAAACATGAGAAGCCTGGCCCTTTGGAAAACCAACCAAGGTCGGGAGCAGGAGCCCACCAGCAACGCCACGGGAGAAAGGTGTGGCAGTCTGCTTCCTCGGAAGCCCGATGAGGCAGACTGCTCTGTCCTGTGGTTTTACTCCATCCCATCACAGCTGTGAGAGCTGGAGTCCAAATTGACTTGGCAGCAGTGGGCTTGGGATTTATAATGGTTTATAACTGGGGCAATGAATAATCTTCTGGTATTTTAGAGACCCAGGCGTTATTGCTTTAGTTGTTTGGGGGCCACATATTAGTAGCTAGTTAATAAAATGATTACTTTCTAAATCTATGTACTTATATGCTTGGGAATCAACTATGATATGTGTCTTACTACAAGCAATCTCTGTAGCCTTTGTATCCAATACAGAAGTTTCCTTTGTTTTCACTTTTAGATCCAAAAATACGAGTGTTCTTTGAGAGGGATAAAACCCACAGTCTTTGGTAAGAATCACTTATTGTGGCAGGATTTAACACATCAGTTACAGATACTACGGCATATTGTTCTACGGGTCATGAGTGAAACGATCATTAAGTGTGTTTATTGAGTTTCTGAAAGTCTATGAAGAGGTTTCATTCTGGATAGAATAGTGCTTAAGTCAACTACACCCATTGATATGTGTTTGGCTGAGAAATCAACTAAAACCCAGATATTCTAAAAGTCCTTCTGATTTCATTTTGTGAGGGTTGACTTTGAAATCAGAAGTGCAGGCTGTTTATCCCAGCAGACAGGTCCTATCAAGTTAATCGTGTAACTGAAAGTCGTTTCCCAAAAATGTTAACTAAAATCGAGGCCACATTAAGCCTTAAACCCTAAAAATTGGTATGGAAATCATCGAGCTTTCTATGTTATTCTTTCCCTCTCTCCCAGAGTGATTGATTTCACTTTCTGTGTCTCATTCCAGGAACCAGAATGCTTGTGTCGAGAGTCCTAATTCGGGGAAAGCTGTTTAGGGGATCATCTCCCTCGTGAGGAGGACAGCTGCGGAGCAGGCGTCCACTTTCCGAGCATGGATTTCAGATTACGGGCAATCACGGCTCGGAGCTGGACCAACACCTGTCAGAGGCGGTTTTCTACGGGGAGATGATGTCTTCCATCAGACGCCATCGTGCTTCGGAGGAAGGTTCATTTTGAAGCGTGGGCAGCACGGCGGCATCTGCTTTCAGGAGTCTGAAGCCGTATCATGCCTTTCCGACGAGTCACAGCCTCAGAGCGTCCTGACCACGACAGTGTTGTTCCAGGGCCCACGCAAGGAACCCCCTGGAACAACGTGCCGAGGAGACAATCATGGGGCCCCTGCCGGCGTTGAAAATGTCACTTTCTCTCGCGAAGGAAGTCGGAAACTTTACTTTTGAACATGGCTGTGGGGCTGTAATTAACTAGAGGACAGACCCTATAAACGGTGACGCTAAATCAAGAAATTCACTGCCATGCAACCTGGGGAACTTCCCGACATTGAACTTGGGTTGCGTGTATCCGTGAATGGTGCGGTGAGTTATTAATACTGACTGCTGTTTAGAGAAAGACGCTCGGCTTTCAGCTCTGCTCTCATTAGAGGCGCCGCTAGGTACACAAACCCAGGTACATTCTCACATCTGCAGGCTCTATCGGGTGCAACTATCAGAAGACAAACTTTATTTTGCAAACTGCAGTTTAATGGCCTAACAGTGCACGGACCGGAATATCAGTTAATTTTCAAAACATTTTATTCTACACCAATTAGCTCAGGTCCTGGAGGGTAAAATGACAAGAGGTTACTCGTTCAGTATGTATTTAATTAATTGAAAAATGCTCAAATTGCTTTTACAGTTGTTATTAAAAAGTAGAATCCGTGTTGCCAGTGCTCAACCATAATTGGAACCCCAGGGAATTAAATATTTATCATTAGTAATGTAACAGCACTTAGGACACAAATTTCTATTTTCGTAATGAAAGCTATACGCTTTGAGTGCAAGTGGCTGAAACGACAGCTGTGACAAGTGGAACGGCCTGGGATATTTCAATAAGACACCTCATTGGACAGCAAGTCTGACCACATTACTCGTTTGTAAGAGATCTGCAAGTTTAATTCCCAGTAGAACCCCGTTACCCAAGTATTTAGATTTCTAATTGCAAAGCAGGATGAGCAGTTGGGCAAACTGCCTGGCCATCAGTGGCTGAAATGTTTGGTGCTCGCTAAAGAATCCTATGGAAGTGCATGCCTTTGTCAAGTTAAAAATAGTGGCGCTGTCAGAGAATGAAGATATTGTTTGTTTTAAGTTTAATTGCGTTTTGAGCATAAATGCTTCCAGGGCTGCTGTGATGAGAAAAGTTGGATCTCAGGCTCTAATGAGCTGCGGTGGTGGATAGCGGGAGACCCTCGGGGATTCACTCTGTAAATTAACTGGATAAAAGTCCTGGGTTGGGATAGAGTTGATGGCTGAGCTGTTCTTAAAACCCATTTATAGAGCTGTCTCTCCCTCCTGTTTTCACCCTAAACAGGCCCTGTGGAGACTTTTACAGCCGCCTGTTACAACTGCTCAACTTGTCAAAATGTATTCTATGACTCCCTAATAAAGGGTATTTAAAGGCATTTGACTTCATGTCTGGTTTTCAGAGAGGGTGAGGTTGACACACACAGCGGACTTGGGTTGACCTTATGTTCATTGTTTTTGTCTTCTCTAAGTTGTACTGAAGACCTGTGGTTTGAATTTGGCTGCATTTTGTCCAGGGGATGGAAAAATTACAAAGGACCAAGTACAGTGGAAACAATTAATCAATGACCATGAAAAACAGCGGGCAAGGAATCAAATCAACATATTACACTGGGCAAATTTGCTGCAAATGTCTTCTTTAAATGTTATAAAAAAGATGTCCTTTTGAGGACCTAGTGCACCTGACCCAAGCCATGGTATTTTCAATTGCCTCACATGAACATGAACACTACAATAACAACAGATCCGCCAATTAAGAAAAGGAAGACCACAGAATGAATTAGGGTGTTGGCAAAGAATACTGGCTGCCAGAAGAACAAATAAATCTGCCTTGGGTGGAGTGCAGCCAGGATGCTCCTTAGAAGGCAGAATGGTGAAACTTGGGCTCATTTACTGGAATATGCTATCAGGAACCATGAGTCCTTGAGAAGGGCAGCATGCTGGATAGATTAAAGGCTCAGCAGAGAGGAGGAAGATCCTTGGACAGATGGGTTGGCACAGTGACTGCAACATGGGCAAATGTTCCTATGATTGTAGGGTGGGCACAGAACTGGCAATGCTTCATTCTGCTGCTCACAGGGGCATCTGCCAACAGCAACAGCATTTGTTGTAGAATCTCTGTCCTGGAAAGATGTATGTAGCTCTGGCCTATTTAGTGCCTGTTCAACACACTTGGAAAACCACAGCTCAGCTGACAGTTTTTGAAGCATGACTAGCCGAATTCCTTTGCCAACCATCCTATCTTCTCCCCAAAGAAGAGATAACAGTGATTTTGCATTCCCTTTTGCTTACCATTGTCTCTCAGTCATTGAACCCCTAGTAGTGTAATGGTTATGAACTGGATTGCTAGCCCTAAAGTCAGCAGTTCAAAACCACCAGCTGCTCCATGGGTGGGAGAAAGATGTATTCTCCTTCTCCTGTAAAGAGTTCCAGTCTAGGAAACCCATGGGGGCAGTTCTACCTGTTCTACCTATGAGTTGGCATCAACACGATGGCAGTGAGTTTGGTTTTTTGGTTTTGTCTCCATGGTAGAGTTTAGAGTGCGCTCTTACTCAGCATGGTTTCCTTTCCATTTTATTTCATTCTTCTGTGTTAAAAAAGAAATGCATGCCCAATTTAAAAGAAGAGAGAGAGGGAAAAAAGCAATACAGAGAGTTTGATAAACCTTCCTTCCCTTTGAATCTCTCCCCAGTCCTACTTCCTTCCCTGGTCATCAAGTTTACTAATAAGTGAAGAGTCTTTGTAAGATTGTCCCTGCATATTTCAAATGTGTACATAAAAGGGGGCTTCAACAAGGTCATAGAAAAGGAGAGTTCAAAGAGAATGAGTTTTTTCCATGATCTTTTTCAAACCCCTCATATTTATATGGACGCACTACATTTAGAAGGCACCATGGTGGTGCAGTGGCTAAAGCACTGGGCTGCTAGGAGAAAGATGGGCGTTTTGACTCCACCAGCTCTTCCACGAGAGAAAGATGTGGCAATCTGCCTGTGCAAAGACTTACAGTGGAAAGCCAGGACAGATAAACCCCTCAGGACCAATAACGAGAGTAGCCATACCGGGAGGGCAAGGGAGGTGGGGGGAGAAAGGGGGAACTGATCACAATGATCTACATATAACCCCTCCAAGGAGGATGGACAACAGAAAAGTGAGTGAAGAGAAACAGCGGTCAGTGTAAGACATGAAAAAAATAATAATTTATAAATGATCAATGTTTTTTGAGGGAGAGGGGAGGGAAGTGAGCTGATACCAAGGGCTCAAGTAGAAAGAAACTGCTTTGAAAATGATGATGGCAACATATGTACAAATGTGCTTGACACAATAGAGGTATGTATTAATTGTGAAAAGAGCTGTAAGAGCCTCCAATAAAATGATTAAAAAATAAGATTTTATAGTCTTGGGAACCCGGTGAGGCAATTGTTCTATAGGGTCCATTTCAGTTGAAATCAACTCAACAGCACTAGTCCTTTTGTTTTTTAAATATCTAGAGTATTTAAAGTACATAATTTGGATAATTCCATGGAAATGTGCTAATTGTTTTTCGTTTGTTCAGTTTGTCAGTTATCCACCAAAGGCACCATCCTGTACTGGCTTATCGGAGCTTACCTGTTCTTCTATGTGCTTCCCACCACCATCAAGTTGGGTCTGATCCCTACTGAGTTTCCGGGCTGTACATCTTTACAGAGCAGACAGCCTCAACTTTCTCCCCAGAAGTGGCTGGTAGCCTTGAACAACAGACCTTTCAGTTAGCAAGCAGTCCCAACCACTGACCCAGCAGCACCACTGCGGAAGACTGGAGACGTTTTCAAATCGCATCAACAGACCAAAAGACACATTAGATCCACTGGAAAGAAGCATGGACTGGCGATTTGTCCTTTTGCCTATTGATGTCATTTAAAATCATCTTCAATCTCGGGCAAAATACTGACTCACTTTCATGTGCCAAGCATAACTCAAAGCAATTTGTGTGTATGAACTCATTCCAACTGTACAAGCTAAGAGTTAAGATGTATTACTATCTCTGTTTCACATCTGAAGAAAGCGAGGCACGGACGTGTCAAGTACCCTGTCCATGGTAAGGTCATAGGTCACAGGTGAGTTTCAAACTGATGAGCTTTGGTACACCAGAGCTCAGGCTCCGCCCTTTCCTGTGTGCTCTTTTGTGTACCTTTCCTTACTACTGAGTTTGAACACAGCTTCAATTCTGTACAGTATTACAGTGCTTCTTCTGAGAAATGGCCTGCCTGTGTCTCCTATTAATTTTCTTGCCATAAGGTCTTCTTGTTAAAATGCCATAAACAAACAAACAAACAAATAAATAAAGGCTTGATGGATGAACACTATTGACTCTTTAATATACTTTTTAAAAATTTGTTTTAGAAAATCATTTTAATGGAAAATCTCATACACTCGCAAAAGCAGCGTGTAAGCTAATGACACCCTACTTATTTGTCATCCAGTTTCAACAATTTTCAACATGTGGTTAGTTTTACTTTCACCTGATTGATTTTAGTTACAGTTTCAACCCCACTACCACACTACATTTTCAAGGCCAAGTTTCAGACATCTTATTTTAGCCATAAATGCACATGCATGGGTTTCATTTTAAGAAAACTTAGCCATGCTACCATTTTAACAACTAAGAAAAATTAAGGAACTCCCTTAATGTGATGAAATAGCCAGGCCATTGTCAAGCTTTCTCAGTTGTCTCATAAAGGTTCTTCTTCTTTTCAAAACCATTTTATTGGGAGCTAAGACAGATATCATATCGTTCCATAGTTCAGTCACATCAAGCAGTGTTGTACAACTGCTGCCACCATCAGCTTCAAAGCATTCTCTTCCTTCTTGAACTCCTTGACACCCACTCTTTACCACCCCCCTTCACAATAACCCCCAGTGAGGTACACTGAGGTCCGCCCCCCACAAAAAGACCTTATTCTACTTGCTATTTCTATAGGTTCAGCAATCCTGACTCATATACTGAAAAACAGAAAAATATATATAACAAAAATTCAAGAATAACAACACTGATGACAAACTATATCTGAGATAAACCCCACCATGAAGCAAAAAAACCACAGAAAATGTAGAAAGCCAAATCGGGCCCAATGTACATCACAGATGTTCTTTTGCAGTGGGGTTTTTAACCCAATCAATTCCACACGTTGGGTTTCATTTTGGTGGTTATAGCTCTTGTTACTTTTGATTTATAGACATCTTTCTTCTTTTTGTTTTCTGTCTCATTTATTTGTCCCAGAAATTTGGATCTAGTCAATGACAAAAATTGGTAAGCCTGTGTCTTACGTGGTCACCCTGTTTCCTTTTCATATAGTCGGTGTTACCTTAGGGGCTGGGGTAGAAGGTGGGTGCCCGTTACCCTAAAAGAGGACAAGTATGTTTTCTTACATCTCTGCTAACACTTCCATTCTCTCTCTCTCTAAACTACGTGGGCTTTAGCTGATCAAACTTGTCAACTACCAACCACAAGTGCCACTTATAAGATGTCCTTTCTTTTTGCCTCCATGGTTTGAGATATGGCTTCTGCTGGATCCTATACCCATCACTACCTATGGCTGCACTGCCCGCTCTTTTAGACTGCTCCATTAGCTGAATCTTGTAACATCAAGAATTTTTAAAAATTATTACAACATGAAAGTGATTTTCTTAAGTCTTTAAATATTTTTTAAAAGGTTATCTGTCAGATATACTAGCTTTCTGTTAAAAAAAGTAGTACATATTCATAATTTTAAAATCCTAATAGTTTATAATGTTGTAAAATGTTTGTAGGCAGAATAACGGCCTCTCCCCAGAGGTCCACATCCTTATTCCTGGGATTTGTAAATATGTTACTCCACACAGTGAAGTGAATCTGAGTTTGCTGGTGCAGTCGGAATAGCAAGATTGTCCTGCATTAACCTGGTAGGTCCAACATAACCATCAATCAACTGACATCCAGTAAATTTCAGCTCACAGTGACCTTATAGGGCAGAGTTGAAGTGCTCCTGTGAGTTTCCAAAGTTGTCATTCTTGATGGGAGCAGAAAGCCTCATGCTTCTCCCATGGAGGGGCTAGGGGGTT